TCACTGGGCGTTAGGATCCAGGGGATAAAACAGATATTTAATGGATTGCCGTGAATATCATGCAAAATCACAGGCAATTATTTATTATGCGTCATCGCGGCTGCGCCGCGATGACGTATAATAAATAATTGCCTGTGATTTTGCATGATATTCACGGCAATCCATTAAATATCTATTACTTATTCAATACTCACAACAACACCTTACTACAATATGTACCTTTACTTGTAAAAGTGATAAAATTGGAAGAACGAAAATATTTTTTATGCTTACGTACGTACGTACATATAGAACTGTGTGGCTACTTATGCAAAGGACTCATTTATTTATTTATTTTATATAAACATCCAGAAATACATATTAAAATTTTTGAAAAGTAAAAATTAGATCAAGAAACACTCGCTTTAACAGTGATGAAGAGTTTTATGATCATAATTCTGGTTTTTCAGGTAAAGTATTCTTTTAATTATAGAATCATATACTAAACATTAGTTCAAGAATATTTTAATATTTTAGAATTATTGTTTCATGAAATAATTACGTAAATAGGCTTTAATTTATATGCACAACACTTTTTTTGTTAAACGATAAAGATTTTTACCAGCATTAATGCTGAATCGGGATTTGTTCTTCTTCCTCCATATGATGGAGGATGGTATAATTGTACTAATGATATATTAGCCGCTGTTAATAAAAGTAAGTTTATTATTATTTTAGGCTTAATTTTTTAATATTTCTAATAAGGCAAAGTATAATTATAGGCTTCAGTATTAAACTTGTTGATTATTCAACCCCTGCAACTCCGGGATTTGGCGCATATGGTGCAGGAAATTCTTCACTTAAACGTATTCGTGGCATTGGTTTTCTAGTATTTTCATATGTTGCAAATTCAACAGTGCCATTTACTTTCACTGAATTTAACAATCGTGAAGTTTATAATATGGTTGATTATTGTGGTACAAAAGAATTTACAACTACTCAATGTGACTCTCCATTCATGGGATTTCCAAATCAAACTAAACAAATGAAATGGTGCCTGGCTATATCAAATCCATTCAATAATAGTCAAAAAACATATGTATCATTCAGTCCTGATGATACTTCTACAAATTCAACTAAAAATGATATGAGCGTAAGTGGAAGTGGAATAACTAAGAATATAAACAATGAATATTTTTTATTAGTTCTATTAATATTATTTCAGGTGCTGTGGGGATATTTTTGCTAATTTGTAACTTCGACGATTATCATAGTTTATTGTAATGATATTGATATTTAGAATTAAACTTTTTCATATCTGCGACTGTTTAATATAATTTCTTTTGTAGAATATTAATAATCAAACTAATAAACTTGAAAAAAAATTTTGAAAAAAAATTTTAGATTTTTATTTTTAAATATAATTTGTGCAATTATTTCAGTTTAGTTTGATTTGGAAATCCCATGAATGGAGAGTCACATTGAGTAGTTGTAAATTCTTTTGTACCATAATAATC